GTCTGTCCCTCATCCTGCAGGATGTTTGTTCCATGGCCTTGCTCGGCGGGTGGCCACTGGCATGCAAGGCTCCAAGCTCACTCACTTAAGCAATCCTACGTCTCACCCTCAGACTCCCTGCAAGGCTTCTCCATGTGTGGTGCCTGTACTTCGGGGAAGTTGAGCTGCTGACTCGCAAGGTCTCGGGCAGCTACGGGGCAGCCCTGTGGACAGAGGCCCACACACTTGTTTGAGCACTTGTTGCTTGTTATTCCGAGATCAAGGCATGAGTCAGTCTGGCATCTGGTAAGGGTTCCCTTCGCCCTCTGTGGAGCTGTGCGAGCCTCTCCCAGGGAGGGCATCCTGCCCCCAGCCCCCCCCCCGACACACAAGCCCCAGAGCCCTCCTGTGATACAACTGCCTATACCTTGTCAGTGTCGTAGTCGTGTTTTTGGTTTCAGGCTTCCTGTCTTGATTGGGTGGCTTAAAGTTATGTCATTTTTAAGTAGCTGCACAGAAGGGTTTCCATTCAACATGTCAGTTTCGGAATACCGCGCATCTCAACCAAGGTCACCCCTTTATTTCTTTAGTGCACTGATTTGTGTGTTTTAAGATAGAGTAACTCATCAAAGACAGAAAGATGCCTTTGGATGGCATCAACAGCACCCAGACCCGTCTGCGAAAGGCCTGTAAATGTGTTTCACTGTTCAGTGTGATGAGAAGTCATGAATCTGCATTGCTTCTCCAGCTTTCCTGGTGGGTGGTTGCAGCCGCTTCTGCCAAAGGCAGAGGTGACAGGGATTTTTCTCCGTCTTTCTCCACTTTGGAGAAAAGAGAAGTAAAGCGATGTGAGGCAGGCGGGAGTCAGGAGGGTCTGGGCCACATGGCTGCTGGGGGGAAGCCCCTCACGGCCCAGGGAGCTCAGCTCAGAGCTCAGCACGATCCCCATAGGGAGGGGGTGTGTGTGTGTGCCCACGCACATGCACACGCATGTGAACACATAAGTATGTCCCCCCCATGAGCAGGTAAAAAGCGTGCTGCCCGTGTGTGCAGCACTACGCCTCCACCAGTGCATAAATGTGTCTGCTACATCTATACACCACACCTGCCCCCAAATACAAGTATTTCCGGTGGATGTCGATTACCTCTATCCCAACATCCATGGGTATGTGTCTGCATAGATACAGAAATTAAAAGAACGGAGTGGGAGATGCTGTTCTCTGTAGCACGCGGTGACTGGAGTGGCGGACGGAAGCGTGGCTGTGTGTTGCCCTGAAGGGGAAATCTCTGATGCATCTACTGTGTGAAAGGAGGTTTGAGAGATTGAATTGATTGACTGTCGTCTGCCCAGTGAAAACCCCTGCAAAACTCCAGGGGAAATAATTCATTGGATGTATCTTTCTCTTGCTTTTCCATCTCTAATTAATTTCCCCAAATTAAAACCTCTCTTTTACAACTGGGGAAACTGCAAGATTCTCTAAGGTCTTGATTCTGGCTGCCATTTTATCTTCCTAAACCTCTTGGCAACTGAACTACTATGAAGGGTGCTGGCGGCTGAGCCTCAGCCTTTCCTGTGCTCACCCCAGCCGCAGGGACAAGTCTGAGGGGCCGGGGCCCAGCCATCCGGGCACAACCTGCCACGCTGTGCCTTCTGCGCCCTCAGCCAGCCATGTCCCGGGGAGGAGGGGGAGCTTGAGTGGCTGTGGAGGAAGGGGATGGGGAGGCAGGCACAATGGACGGTGGGAGGAGCACCAGCTCCCGTAGTTAGAGGCCTGCTGGCCACAGGGCGTTTTCATCTCCATCTCTGGGGTGATCGGCCCGTGCAGGTGGGCTGGGCACCGTGTCTACCAAGGGCCTCCCTGCAGCACAGGGCATTCCTGGCCAAGGCCAGGGCCACGGTGTGGATGGCAGCCATCTTGAGCCAGACCGGGATGCCCTGGATCCCCCACCCTGCACAGCAGCTCTGCGGCCACAACTGCTCTTACCCAGGGGCATTCCCTCCCTGTCTCTGGCTCCAGGTTGGCTGCAAGCTCAGCCTGGTGTTCTTCCAGTACTGCATCATGGCAAACTTCTACTGGCTCCTGGTGGAGGGGCTGTACCTGCACACCCTCCTGGTGGCCATCTTCCCCCCCAGCAGATGCTTCCTGGCCTACCTCCTCATCGGATGGGGTAAGCAGCCAGTCCGCTCCCCATCGCCCCGAACCAGTGCTCTCAGACTTCAGCTCAGAGCACATCGCAGGATGGTGTCTGGGCTGCATGGTTCTACATGCAGCACCGAATGTGTCTGCAACAAGGGCCTTATTGGAAATTGCGTAGATCCTCATTCTTGGTCCTGCTTACCCAAGTTCAGAGTGAGCTGCGAACAAGTAGCAGGATGGTTTATTCTTCTCCCCACTTCCCAGCTGCACCAACAGTGGGAAATCAGAGAGGAGAGGGGCCCGAGGAGGAGCAGGTGACAGGAGCAGTCTGCCCAGAGCCAGCGTTGGAGGCCTGAGCACACAGACCTCCGGTGTCACTGACGCGGGAGCCGTTTCTCCATCCTGTCTTCAGTCACACTCTGTTAGACTAGTTGTAGCCCTGGACAGATTCTCCCAATTTCCTTCACTGTAGTAAGACGTGCTGAGTGCAAGCCTACACACACTTGCCAGGCCTCTGAAGATGGTTTCCTGTGGTCTGTGGCAGCTGTGGCGCCCAGCCCAGCTGCGGTGCTGCTGCTGGCTGACCGGGCCGGGCCCCAGCTGC